CTTCGTCTTCGTCTTCTTTAGTGCTTTCCTCTCCTTATTCCATTTTCTTGCGTTAGTGCCAACTTACCTCCTTTATGTAACTTTTTTAATACTTTCTCTCAGCTCGATTAGCTTTCTACTTATCCTAAGTAAATGTACCTAATGTTTGTATTTATAATGCCATGTTATGTACACTGAAGGTGCTAATTATCAACTTCGTCTCCGTATGTCGGCTTATGTTTATGCTTATATGAAAACCAGCCTTAAGTTTCATTTTTATATGATCATGAAACACGCGTCACGGTTGTAACAACAACAACAACAACAACAAATACTTATTTGGCGCGGGAATACAATATCAATATAAACAGAGAAAACATTAAAATATTTAGGCAAAAAACTATTCAAAATAGTGAAAAATAATTCAGACAAGCTGAGTAGCTACATACTTGCTGTAGATCCAGCATCAGCCAACTCTTGGATTTTTATAACAAAAACAACATCTTTTATTTAAAAACGGTGGGCCGTGTAAAAAATGTTAATAGGCTAATAAAAAAAATTGAAAGAATGCAAAAAAGATATGAATAAAATCAATAAAAGACGAAATCAAAAGTCAAAAGGGAAACCATTTGCGGTGACTCTTCAGTAAAGTTCAAGTTTCTGAGGTCGGGAGACTTTTTTTTCCCTTTAGCATAATCTCTGGCACTGACAGTGCATGGTTCTAAAAGATTCCAAACAATGGATCCTCTGTATGATAGAGAGTTTTTCATATAATAAGTTTCAAAACGTTGTACGCTGACACGATGTTGATGACGGAGGTCATACTTAGACTCTTTCCCTTGGATATTGAAAGATCTGATTGTTCGCTTCGTTTCATTTCATTTTAGATAAACATCAGCCGCAGCAATTACCTTCTGAATGCACTGAGAGTGACGAAGTGGCGAACAAGGCGTTCCTTTTCGGAATTTAAGAATCCAGTGGACAAAGAACAGTGAGTACAACCAAGGCGCGCGTCAGGGCTTGCGTGAGTTGTCAGCATCCCGCGAGTTTGGGCTAAAGCTGATCAAAAGGAACAAATAAACGGATTAGCCAGATGAACGGAAAAAAGGCGGAGATCGCGCAGTTTTAACTTAGGTCGCTCAAAGCAATGTCCATTCTGTTTGGTTCTTATTGTCAAGGTTCGTTGGTTGTCGTCTCAGTTATGATTGACAGCAGCTAAAAGCGCTATCGTTAGTGTGGGTTTGAACTTCAGAGTTCGCGTTCGACTGTTATTAGAGAACTTAAGTAAACCACGAAGGCAACAGCAACGGCAACGAGAGCGCCACCAAACAAAAGGTTAATATGCAGAACAATGGCTGTGCGTTATAAATCTTTGTACACTTCTTTGCCGTCCTCTACACAACAACGACGTGAAATGACTAAGTTCTGCGTATCTTGGAGAACGCGAAAGACTGATTTTTCGTAATTATTTTCATTTGAAATTGATCGCTGGTGTTGCATGCATGATCAGCTTGAGCAAGTTCTGAGACCAATGGGCGCTCTGAACAGATCTAGACAATTCCGAAATTCGACGGTAACTGATATAAATTCCTCTTTTACTAGGCGTTGTCCTCGGGGTCGCCATTGTCATTGTTAACGAAAGGCGCAGTAAAACATGACTCGGGGAAACGATTCTCTTTGTCTGACGGCAACATTTTTTACTTTTAACACTATTCGCGTATTTGTTTATTCCATTACAGGTGGTATGTTGGACCTCAGCTGGTGAACGCGTTTTACTTACCTAACAGAAACGAAATAAGTAAGAAATTATGATAATTCGCCATTTCCACATTCTCCATAAACACCTTATTTGGCCCCCAAAATTTTGCATAAGCATTGTCTTCAATTTCTCTTGGGACGACTGTAATACCCAGGAGAAATGGGAAACAAAGGTTATGCAGAGTTTAGGGGACAAACAAGGTGTACTGTGGAGGATGTAGAAATGGCGAATAAAGATCAAATATTGAAACTAATTAATCCCACTGGTTTACCAATAGATTGTGTGTATTGTCGCGCAATAAAATATAAAAGTAAAAACCATTCAGTGGATAAAGTCAAGAAATTGTGATATTGTAGACGATAAATAAAGAAGAAAGTTCTCCAAGTTTAAGGTGTGTGCGTTTTCCCAGAGTTGAGATATTCGTCGAAATGTTCCGCTCAAAATTATAGAGCCTAGTATGGAGCCGCCATGTTGGAGGACCTTCTTAGTCCTCCAATATGGCGGCCGGAAAATAGTGTAAACATCTGGAACTTACTGTGGCTATCTAGACAACTGATTAACATATCTGAACCGAACCAAAAAACATTTACACAAGCACTTTTCCTAATACTTTAACTCCTAAAATGGCTAAGAATCACGAGACAAGTGTATGTTTTTCGACAAACGCGATCTTAGCTTCATGTCACACACCGCCATAACTCCGAAATTCAAAATGCGCTGGTTTCCAAACGAAGGACGCTGCTGAGCTGGAAAGTTGTAAACGGATATAAATTTAGTAATTCTTATTCCTGAAGAGGATGAAACCTTTAGGGGCTCTTTAGTTTTGGATTTGAGAATTTAATGATGTCACGTGAGCACACTCTATAAATGTTTGTACTACGGCCTGTACAAATATGAAGGATCATATATGTATATCATTGCAGTTATATACACAACTTAAGCTGTTGTGATTAACTGCTTAAGGTGTGTATATAACTGCGATGATGAATCATGTCTTCATATAACGGCCTGTAGCACACGGGAGTACAGAGACGGTAGTAAATGACCAAAGACTGTTGAGAGTGTACAATTTCCTGTGTTCTCTCTCTCAGAAAAATGCCAGTTTGCACTTTAACAGTCTACATATTATATGCCATGAATTTTAAAAAATGTTTCGACAACAAAATCTTGGTACCATCTTTTGCTTTGTTTGGAAATATTAATCTTACTTAGCACACAGCAACTGGATATTGTATCACTGATGCTGGAATTTTGCTTTGTGGCTGTGGCAAATTGCTTAGAGAGCTTAGTCCTCTACACCGTATTTCAGTTTCCAACGTTCTATACCGAGATTGACTGATTTAATTTTTAGTAAGCACATCCTTAAACTTGAACAAAGGTAAAGGTAAACTTTATTTAGCCAGGGTGGCCCATTCAGCGACGAGGCTGATATCCAGAGGGGCCCTGGACAAATTCAGTGAACATTACTCACAGTAGAACAATCTAAATTTTAAATAATTTTGCTGCTTTGTTTCGATAGACATCCTGGCCGGAATTCTGCAGCCACCATTCTTTTACGGACAAAAGGCACCAAGGTAGTACATTATAGTTTATATTTTGTTTCCCCTTGCTTGCCATTGTACGCTTCTTTATACACTTGATCGAGAAAAACCGTTCTTGAAACACTTGTGTAATACTTAACACAAATTAGTGCATCTAAGAGTAAGCTGGTCAAAAAAGAAATACATTAGGTAAGAAATCTATGGTTTTAACAATAGGAGTCTTTAAGCGATAAACTGATACAGGGACCTTTTGGCATTTTCGCGTCCTACCTACATTTCAGGCTGAATCATTCATATCTCATGTTTTTAGGGCGGTGAACTTTGGAGCAATTGGAATGGTTCTGGCACACGAACTTTCCCACGGATTCGACTCGACCGGTCAGTAATTGAATCAGAAAATCTCATTCCTTAATTTGTAAGGTGACTCCATAGGGTACATCATTTATCGCTTTGCGCGCGCTGGTGTTAGATTTTGAAAGCTGGTTTTCCTTTGAGCTCGGGCGGATTACTAAAGCTTAGAATTCCTCGTCTGCATCTCGCTAAAGATGGATTTGCCAAACACGCCCCCTGCGAAGTTATAAAATCAGCAATACATGTACAGACTAAAGGCATAGACCAGAATGTCGTTATTATAAAGTCTTTATTTCAATTGAAGACCATAATTTTGCAAGAAAAGGAGTATTTCCACTGTATGCAAAATATTTTGTCAACCCTATCCTGCCCGGGAGGGGGGGGGGGGGATGGAATTTACAAACTTTGCTACTTTGTCTAAAATTTACCTCGAAATAATCTGGTATGACATGTCATTGTCATCGAAATTTGATGTTTCCAAGGCAACCGCATTTTGACAGTCTTGTCTTCTTTTTTCGAAAATCAAGAAAAAGCACTAACGAAATATTATTTTTTCACCAGGGAGAACTTTTAACAAAGATGGAGAGATAATTGATAACTGGTGGAGTAAAAGCACTTCAGAAGCGTTTGAAAAGAGATCTAATTGCATTGTGAATCAGTACGATAAATATCCTGTGGATGGTGGGATCGACGGCAAAACACACGTAAGACACAATAAACCATCGTAAATGAAGTAGAGAACAAATAAATTCTTAACTGTTTTAATAATCAAACTAATTAAAAAGATGTGGGCTCAAAAAAATATTTTGAGCTGGAAACTGAAATTGATAAACAAGTGCACAAAAAAATGCAATGATCTGATGATACATGTTAATTTTCTGTAATACTCAATTTTCGAAATTATTCGTACCCCTCAAAGTAAGCAACGGGCAAAACAAACAGCTGTAAGAGAAAGATCCCGTGCTTTCCCTAGAAGACATTTTTAATTTACGTACTGTACAAATGACCATAGATAGACCATCACAGACGCTGAACATATAGCATTAATTGTTGGCTTCGAAATTAAGTCTTATCACGCTATATCGTATGATTTTCATCTTAAAGCCCCTCCCTGTTGCCATTTTATACCCCTTATTCATTCCTTTTTTCGTTTTCTCGGGTGGCAAATCAATAAATTACAAGTTTAAAAAAATCCACTTTCGTCTTCTACGATTTAATATATTACAAGTTACTGCCTTGGCAATATCCGTTGACGTGATATATTGTAAATTTTTATGAGTCCATCAGCACATTAGATCTTTTATTATACGACAGTAAAAGCTTTGTAGCTTTGAAAACTATCATTTTAAAATAAAGGTTGATTGATTGATTGATTAATTGGTTGATTGATTGATTGATTGATTGAATGACTGTGAGTTTTTAATTTCCTCTCAAACAGATCGATGGAGAACTCACGCTAAGCGAAAACATTGCTGACAACGGTGGTATCAGACTTGCTTACTGGGTAAAGCGTTATTTACTCATTTTACTGTTATTGCTGAGAATGAAATATTTACATGTGCCTGCTTGTTTCTTGTGTTAAATTAACAGAACGGAGGAGATATAAATGTCACTGAATTCAGGATGTTCAAACAGTTATGTTTTTCTATTCCGAGTCCTCTGTCAACTCTAGGATGCCAACAGATCGCTTGAGCAGAGAGATAAGCCCGAAAGAATGAAATGATCAAAGTGTTCATTTCGTTTACCTTATTTTGGCCTGCATTGGCTAGATTTTTTGTTTGTTTGTTTGTTTTTTGTTTTGTTTTTGTTTTTGTTTTTTTTGTTTTGTTTTGTTTTGTTTTGTTTTGTTTTGTTTTGTCTTGTTTAATTTATTTTTTCTTCCTGAGCCTAGGGGACGGCCGATACAGGTGTGCAATATCAAAGTTCTCATAAATTGGTTTACCAAAATTGAAGTGCAAAATCTTTATAAAGATCAGTTTTGGAACCAACCCCTTATTAAGACCAGTATCAGGGATGGCACAGTGGTGGGAACGTTTGCCTCCCACCAATGTGGCCCGGGTTCGATTTTACTTGGATTGAGTTTGTTGTTGTTGTTCTTGTTCCGAGCGTTTTTCTCCAGGTTCTCCGGCTTTCCTCACTCTACAAAAACCAGCATCTCCAAATTCTAATTCGACCGGGATCGTGGACCTTCATGAAAACCAGCTAAGGCTTCCTGTCTAAATATTGTAAATTAACTTATTTATTTTCAAATAAAAAAACACTGGGCCTTATTTCGGTGAAACGACCTTTCAAATGAATGGCTGCCACAGGAACATTAAGCCACCTGGACAAACACGTGACGCCCCGAATTTTTGAGCCTGACTGAGCTACAAAGATGTGACCACACAACACGTTTGAAACCCGGAGAAAGCAAACTAGTTGCAAGGAATTCTTAGATTTTGTCCCTCAGTCAGTCACTTGTATCTTCCAAACAGGGCTACAAGAATTGGGTCAAGAACAATGGTCCAGAGACATTGCTACCTGGCCTCAACATGACAAACGAGCAGCTCTTGTTCGTCAGCTTTGCTCAGGTAGGGGGAAGAGACCCTCGAAATTAAGATGCATCTTAGATATTCCGATTCTACTAAACTTGAACTAACTGGATGTTGCAGATGTTGAAACTGGAATGGCGCTGTATAAGTAAAAGAGACGAATGGCGATATAGAGCGACTGAATTCTGCGCCTCTTTTAATGACGCTGTTTCTGGTTACTAATGTATTTGTGAAATGCGATGCATCAATGTGCATTCAAACATACGTCATTTTAGCAATGTAAATTTTACTTTGATAATGGTTTATGTTCAGATGGTTGAAAGATAGGAATACTCATTTGTTAACATCAGCAAGTAGTTAATTTTCTTGAGTTCTTTTCTTAGATGTGGTGCAGCGTGTTTACTCCATCAGCTGCATACACTTTGGCAAAGACAGACACTCACGCACTGGCCAATTACAGGTAGGAAGACAGCAGAACATCATTAATACTGTATTAATAAAACTGACTCTTACAAAGAGCACGATGGTTTTTTCCGATCGAAAATTCCAATTTGCGACACAAAACTTACACTATCCGAGATCTAGAGGGCCATTCTTAGACACCCAGAGACACGTACGGTGGACGCACCAGGCATGTAATCAGAACGAATGAGAGTTGAATTAAAGAGGCGAAATTGATGGGGAAATAAATTTCAGATGCTTCGGCAGGGTCCGAAATTGCGCTTTCCTGGTCGCCAATGTGACTAAAAATTTTGCACTGGCGACCAGAATTTCAGAGCTGGTCGCCGGCGGGCGATTAACTATTTCAAGCCACGATAATTACACAAACTT